GAAATCAATCCATTGTGAGGGTCTGGGTTTACCTAGGAGCCAGATTCGGACTAAATCAACATCTGGCAACGTTACAGAAAACTACATTACGTTGACCTGTAGTTTGATAAGCAGAGATGTCTTTATTACCTACAATGTAAACTACAGTGTATTTTAAGTTTGTATTCTGATCAGTAATCTGTTTGTTTTTTGATCATAGCAACCAAAATTCTGTGTTTAAGTAGTCAGTGTTGGTAAGGTTGAAGAAGAATGCAACATACTCGACAGCCAATGGAGAAAAGTACCCATAATATTAATACAAACTAATTACAAGTATACATGGAAAAGAATACAGTCAAATACAATATCATGAGTTAGAATGTATGATGTATGAGAGTAAAGATTCATACAGTGTATTAAGGAAGATCCACAGGCTGTATGAGTATGTCTAAGGAGGAGGATGTGTATTAGGTAAGTACAAGATGCTTCAAAATATACAGTATAAGCAAAGGTCTTACTGAATCAATCAACTACAACAACAACAACAAATATCAACTCCACCGACAAGGAAATATTTATTGAAGAATATCACAAACACTGAATATATATTGTTATGTTAGATATATATTTTGAAATAATTTAGACATCCCTTGAAATATATGACGATACGATATATAGAAAATCAGTGAAATATATTGTATACGGTATCGCACATGATATACAAGTAACAGATTAGAACAATGTCATCTTAGCAAAATAGTTAACAAAAGTAAAAATAATAAATTAAACGTGATAAATGATTAAAAGATTAACTCCCCCGTGTAATAATTTACTTGTTAAATTCACCAGGAAGTGTTAAAAGAAGGTTAAAATAGTGAAAATAGATTAGTTAGATTAGAACAGGTTAAATTTGGTTAGATCAGGTTAGATTAAGTTAGGTTAGGTCAGATTAAACCAGGTTAGGTTAGAGTAGATTAGAGACCATAAAATAAAAGAAGCAGAGGTCAAAGGTCACACAGTCTACCCCCGAAGGTCATGGCTTGAGTACTGCCAATGTCGTACACTTACATATTACTTGACATACGTACAGGAAGCACTTGGACATCGGGATGGTGTGGTATTACCAGGACGAGGTCAAGTATACATAGGTCGATGTGGGCTAGGTGGAGAGTATACATGGGCAGGTGGTGGGTATACATGGGTAGGTGGTGGGTATACATGGGCAGGTGGTGGGTATACATGGGTAGGTGGTGGGTATACATGGGTAGGTGGTGGGTATACATGGGTAGGTGGAGTATACATGGGTAGGTGGTGACTAGGTGAGCATGGGCAGGTGGTGGGTGTTACATGGGTAAGTAGTGGGCTGGGTGGAGGAGTATACACAGGTGGGGCATACATGGGTAGTGGGGTATACATGGGCAGGTGGTGGGCACAGTAGGTGGAGAGTATACATGGGTAGGTGGTGATAGTGGGATATATACATGGGCAGGTGGTGGGTGTTACATGGGTAGTGGGGCAGGTGGAGAGCATGACATGGGCAAGTGGTGGGTATGCATGGGCAGGTGGGTATACAGGGTGTGGTGGGTGCTTGGCATGGGTAGGGTAGGGCTAGGGAGAGTATACATGGGTAGGTGGTGGGCCAGGTGGAGAGTATACATGGTAAGTGGTGGGTATACATGGATAAGTGGAGAATGTGTGGCAGGTGGTGGGCATACATGGTGGTAATGGTGGTGGGTATACATGGGTAAGTTGAGAATATACATGGGTAGGTGGTGGGTATACATGGGTAGGTGGTGGGTATACATGGGTAGGTGGTGGGTATACATGGGCAGGTGGTGGGCTAGGTGGACAGTATACATGGGTCGGTGGTGGGCTAGGCGGAGAGTATTCAGAATACATGGGTACAGGTGGGATAGGTGGAGAGCATACATGGGTCGGTGGTGGGCTAAGTGAGATGTATACATGGTTAAAGGTGGGCTAGGTGGAGGCAGTGGATGGAGGTAGGCTAGGTGGAGTCAGTGGATGGAGGTGGGCTAGGTGGAGTCAGTGGATGGAGGTGGGCTAGGTGGGTGTAGTGGAAGGAGGCGGGCTAGGTAGAGGCAGTGGATGGAGGTGGGCTAGGTGGGTGTGGTGGAGGGAAATTAGGTAAGGGGATCATGGTAAAGGGGTTAAGGAACTAGCCCCCGCTATATTGGACACCGGTTAAATAAACACACACCTTTTCATAAGACTATTACTCATACAAAAATTATCCGGTACTCAATTATCCGGTTAATATAATTTAAGTTAGAAGCCAAACTAATAACCAGAACCGTACCTTAACTTAAAACCTTCCATTAACATCCTAAGTTGATTAAGTTACGTTATGGAAAGGTCAAGTTAGATGGAGTTAGGATATACAAAATGTCGGTTAGGTTAAATTATGTTCATGGTAAGTTAGGTTAATTTAGCTAATGTTTAGGGTAAGTTTAATTAGGTTGGGTGAGAAAAGGTTTGGTTAAGGATTTCATTATGTTAGATTAAGTTAGGTTAAGTTAGGTTTGGGGGGAAGTAGGTTAGATTTGGTTAGACATAGCTTACGTTTAATTAGGTTTGGGAGTGAGCTAGGATAAGTTACATTTGGTTATGTTTGGCTAGTTAAATCAAACAAGATCAGGGCCAAGATAAGATAAATAAGTTAAGGTTCCAGATACTAGCAAGTCCTTCTATTTATGTACAATCACTTAAATAATAACAACAACAACAACAACAGACTTAAAATCTCTCCTTCAACACACACACACACACACACACACACACACACACACACACACACACACACACACATATATATATCTACTGTACACCCAAACAAGGATTCTCAAACACTTGTACATTAAGTTATTCCTCCCATAACTGATAACGTGAAAGGGCGCATCTAACTGGCTACAAGTCTATGGTCCTAGAAAGCAGAACCTGGCATCAATAACATGGATCTTGTACCGAGAATCAAGGACAGTTAGATGCGTTCTCTCTCACTGATTAAAAGAGAGAAGAAAATGAATTCACGAACCCGACTCTGAATCTGAACTCCTGAAAGACCCAGATGTTCAAACGCTGTCATTTGGTTATAGAAACAAATAATGAGGTGAGTATGTAAACATGATATACTGTACACTGAAAGGTGGTGGTAAGGTCTACTGTACCCTCTCCTTGCTGACTGGTGTTGACGTGGGCTATTTCTACTGACTGACTAATTGACTGACTCATTGGCTGACGGAGTGAAGGAATTTTCCTCCATCTCTAATCACCCTAAAGCTACAATGTTCTCCTCGCTACCGCAGCTTATGACAATATCTCGTTCACCCATGATAACCTTAACCCATGACACCCTTAACCCATGACACCCTTAACCCTTAACTCATGACACCCTTAACTCATGACACCCTTAACCCATGACACCCTTAACCCATGACATCCTTAATCCATGACACCCTTAACCCATGACAGCCTTAACCCATGACACCCTTAACCCATGACACCCTTAACCCATGACACCCTTAACCCATGACACCCTTAACCCATGACACCCTTAACCCATAACACCCTTAATCCATAACACCCTTAACCCATGACTGCCTTAACCCATGACACCCTTAACCCATGACACACTTAACCCATGACACACTTAACCCATGGTATAAAAGACTCCATAGATCTGATGTCGCTTTCATATTTGTTGTTAATTATTTATCGCCAAATTCCTTTATCGTCTTGTGTAAATGGTGTCAGTCAACAATAAGAAGCTTCACCCTCTCGCCTCATAGACTGGTGACGTGACAGTCTTCCCCTACCTGCTGTATTAAGAGGAGGGGGGGTAACTGGCTCACTCAGTCTTCTTTGTTTACTTTCACCCGTAAAAAAAAAATCCCAGTCATTGTTCTATCACGAAATTTAGAGTTTCGGGGTCCAGACTCTGAAAGTTTCGTGCATTTTCCCTCCTAACGAGTGATGAAAGAACGGCTCTAATAGGCACAGTTAAGGATTGGCTCTAATTGGCACAGTTAAAATGCGACACAGTTAATAACAGTCAAATATTGGCATCGGAATAGCGTTGAGATATTACCGTAAGTAAAGGCCTTTTTTTTAATTCACTAGTTAAGAGGAAAAATTATTATACGAATCTTAAAGAACCCAGGATATGTTTACCATTAATTCATCACACGAACAGTAACTCAACATTGCATTAGTTATTCGTTTGTCAAAAAAGTAAATAAAATAAAAATGGCCATACCTCAATGATCCTGTCTACTGCCAAGGGTAATTTCATCGTCTAGAAAAAATCATACATTGCAATATTTCACAAGTTCACTCAGCTCAACATTGTACAAGATAGAATACTCGTGTGATACCGTGTTAACACTGTACTAGCTCTTTGTAGTATTGCTTCAGTTTCGTACCTTAATAATATACTTCATAGGACTGACACAGACTCGTCCAGATCTGGTAAAAAAAACACGCGTGTCCAAACATCTGTCAGAGGCTTAGGACACCAACACAGCCCCGACGACTCCTACACCAAACACCTTCATCACAGGTGAAGGACTCCTTAAACACAGATGAGGACTACATGCCCCTAAAGACCAACTGTGCGTCTCCTACACCACTCCTGGGGCACCTAGAGCAAACTGTGGCTTTATATTGTAATTGGTTGTAGGTGTTGCAGTGCCTTTAATGTCGTTTCAAGTGTTCTAGAACTATTTACAACTGACCTAGCAAATAGCTTGTTGTTGGTGCATTCTATCACTCTAGAACTAGCTGTTTAGTACCTACAACTTGTGGCAGTCACCTAGAACTGGTTCCTAGGACAAGTCTGAAAAATGTTTCATCCAAGTCTTGGTGAACGAGAAGCTACACAACCGAGGAAGAGTTTCGAAGTACAGTCCATGCACTTGTGGCATCATCATGGACGACATGCAGGCGGTAGTTACTGTAGGCAACCAGTACATCTGACCTGACACACAACACAGCTTAATATGCTAATGAGAGAGAGAGAGAGAGAGAGAGAGAGAGAGAGAGAGAGAGAGAGAGACCTAGAACACATTATGACCTAGGAATACCTCAACAATCTTGAAGTTAATAATCGCACACACACACACATGTTCTTGTTAGCTGCTAGACCCTCTAGAGGCGATGAAGGAACTAGAACAACTAGTCATAATCCTAGCAGTATCCTAGCACGGTATTCTCATGCTCTTCTGGTGGTGGCGGATGACCTAACACAGGTAAGCAGTGTACCTGGCGACCATCTGGACACCTCCAGCAAACCAAAACAATGTCCTTGAAGGCTGTAGCTTTCGCCCTTGATATGATAATGACCCCTGATTTGTATAGCGTGTTGGGTGTGTTGACCTCGCTAGTACTGGCCCTGGGTGTACTGGCCGTGAGGGGGCTGCACCGCTTCCTGGGTGAACCCCCCGCTGAAGGGGTTGCTGGTAGGGGGGACGGCGGCGACGAAGGGGTTATGTGGGTTCTGCGTCGTGTAGTTAACAGTCGCCTCCTGGGGGAACGACAGTCTCAATAACACAAAACAACAATAAAAACAACATCAACAATAACAATAACAAATGTGGTGTAACATAATCACTTCACACATCAAGTAGATCGGGGTTATCGAAGTATGACATTAATACAAGAAAGATATAACATCAAAAATCCTCACTACCTAAGGTGGCAGCTACGACCACAAGGAACATGGCTTAAACTACTCTATGTTTTGTACAGGAATGTTAACAATTATAATAATACAGTAATTATAAACACAAGAAAAATTTAATGTATTATGTAAATTAGAGAAGCAGAGTGAAGCCACAGACTGTACTGTTCAGGACCCCGAAATCGTTTATCACCAATCAGACCTAAACGTTAAGACGCTAGACACACAGACAACACAGGTGATAACACTACCTGTGTGTGATCACGGGGCTGTGTGGTTAATAATAACAACAGTAGTTTGGGATCACTATAAGAACGTGGTCATATTGTCATACCTGTTGTGGTTGTTGTTGTGCGTAGTCGAGCTGTGGTTGTTGGTGGGTGTAAGGCTGTTGAGTCGACGGCTGCTGCTGCTGCGTGTACCCCTCCTGCGTGAAGGTCTGGCCGTCCACCCCCGCCTCCCCGACCATAGTACCATACGTGGCCAGCTTACCGTTAGCTTGACCAGGACCACCCACGGCTGGCGTTGTCTCCTGTACAACATTAACAAACCACATCATTTAATCATTACTAACTTTATCTCATCACTAAACTCTAAATGATATTAATCAAAACATCATTATCGTCCTCCTTTATTAATTCATTTTGTCAATAGCTATAATACGACTTGAGACTCGGTACTTAACGTTATTAACTCTTCTTAATGGCGAGGGTTGACATTATGTGACCAAAACTGGGAAGGAAATTACACGTATTGCCATAATCCTACGACGCCTGGCAGCTAACTCACCCACAATGCACCTCTGACCACAAAAATTCTTTCAGTGAGTCACTCTAAGTCAGTCTACCCTGTGTTAGTTTGATTTATTGCTGAATACTAACCTCTAACATACTAGCACAGTCACTAACCTCCACACACTAGCAAGATCACTAACCTCCACACACTAGCAAGATCACTAACCTCCACATACTAGCACAACCACTAACCTCCACACACTAGCAAGATCACTAACCTCCACACACTAGCAAGATCACTAACCTCCACATACTAGCACAACCACTAACCTCCACACACTAGCAAGATCACTAACCTCCACATACTAGCACAACCACTAACCTCCACACACTAGCAAGATCACTAACCTCCACACACTAGCACAGTCACTAACCTTCACAGATTGGTCGTCTTCGGACTCGTCTGCAGGGGGTGGTTCCGCCCAGGGTTGCAGCTCCCCCGAAGCAAATATCCCGTAGAAGATGATGCCGAGGAAGTGTATAACAGACGCTACCAGGAACACCACTTGCCACTCCTCCGCTGTCTGTGAGGGGTAGATGATGGGTTTAGTGGAAGGGGTAGATCATGGGTTTAGTGGAAGGGGTAGATCATGGGTTTGGTGGAAGGGATAGATCCTGTGTTTAGTGGAAGGGGTAGATCCTGTGTTTAGTGGAAGGGGTAGATCATGGGTTTAGTGGAAGGGGTAGAGCATGGGTTATGGAAGGGATAGACCAAGTAGTAGTGATTAGTGGAAGGGGTAAATCATGGGTCTAGTGGAAGGAAGAGAACGTAGTGTTTAGTACAGGGATAGACCAAGTACCTACTCTCATACATAAGTAAACATATACATACATACATATATACATACATACATACATACATACATACATACATAGGTAAAGTGAACCAGATGATGATGATGATGATGATGATGATGATGATGATGATGATGATGATAAAAATGGTAAATGACTTTGCCATGAGAGAGGAGAGGAAAGAGAGGAGGAAAGAATAGAAACGGGAAGTAAAGTAGTAGGGAGTAATAACAGATTGGATGGGTCTATCCACCTAGCTGAGTCGAGGCGAATAGTTGTATAGTACGAGCTCTCTCTCTCTCTCTCTCTCTCTCTCTCTCTCTCTCTCTCTCTCTCTTTTCCTGTTTCTTCAATTCCTCTCATCTTCCGTCCCTTCTTCTCCCTTCTCCTCTTCCGCCCCTCTTCTCCCCTTCCTTCCCCTTTCCCTTAGCATTGTTTGTCAAGCGCTCGTAAGACGGTCCGGCAAACACACCTTCAACTTATTGTTTCTCGTCACCACTTCATGCCCTGTGTAGGAGAGGGGAAAGTGAGGGGAAGGAAGGCTTAGAGAGGGGAAAGGGAGGGTAAGGGAGGCTTAGAGAGAGGGAGGAAGAAGGAATTGGGAGCGAGAAAGATAAATAGGTGGAAAGAAAACACTGGCCAGGACGGTAGAGAATGAATGGGAAGGCAGAAAAGAGGGATTGAATAGGAAGAGGAAGGATTGGAAGGGAAGAGAAGGGACTGGAAGGATAAGAGAAAGGAAAATGAAGGATTAGGTATGCGGAAAAGAGGGACTGAAAAGATGTGGAACAGGAGAGAAAGGTAACAGATGGAGGCAGAAAGATGGAAAAGAAAAGGTGAGGTAAAACATACGAGTAGAAGGTTTAATCAGGTTAGGTTAGGTTAGGTTAGGTTAGGTTAGTTTTTTCTTAAGTCAATCAAAATGGGATCAGGGCCCGGGTACGAAAGAGAGCGAGTAAGTGCCAGTGGGTGCCAGTGAGAAAGAGTGAGTGCCAGTGAGAAAGAGTAAGTGCCAGAGTGCCAGTGGGTGCCAGTGAGAAAGAATGAGTGCCAGTGAGAAAGAATGAGTGCCAGTGAGAAAGAGTGAGTGCCAGTGAGAAAGAGTGAGTGCCAGTGAGTGCCAGTGGGTGCCAGTGAGAAAGAGTGAGTGCCAGTGAGAAAGATTAAGTGCCAGTGAGTGCCAGTGGGTGCCAATGAGAAAGAGTGAGTGCCAATGAGTGCTAGCGAAAAAGAGTAAGTGCCAGTGAGTGCCAGTGGGTGCCAGTGAGAAAGAGTGCGTGCCAGTAACAAAGAGTAAATGCCAGTGAGTGCCAGAGGGTGCCAGTGAGTGCCAGTGACGGTGACTGGAGTCCGTCAAATCAATGGTTGTCCCCCGCTACTGAGCCTCCAGCCTCAGGGGCCACCACACTGCCCTTTCATCTTTCAGTTTCAATAGTGGTGCAGGCTGGGGGAGTGGTGGTGCAGGCTGGAGTGGGGGGCTGCAGGCTGGGGCAGTGGGGGTGCAGGCTGGAGTAAGGGGCTGCAGACTGGGGCAAGGGGTGCAGGTTGGAGGTGGTAGTGCAGGCTGGAGTAGTGGTGGTGCAGGCTGGAGGTGTGGTGGTGCAGGTTGGAGGTGGTGGTGCAGGTTGGAGGTGGTGGTGCATGCTGGAGGTGGTGGTGCAGGTTGGAGGTGGTGGTGCAGGTTGGAGGTGGTGGTGCAGGCGAGAGAGGGAGGAGAGGTGGGCGTGGAATGGGTGGGGTTAGATGGGACGAGGAAGGAGACGAGAGGATAGGGAGATGGGGAGGGATAGGGAGATGGGGGGGTGGAGGATAGGGAGATGGGGGAAGGTGTAGAGGATAGGGAGATGGGGGAAGGTGTAGAGGGATGAGGGAGATGGGGAAGGTGGGGAGGATAGGAGATGGGGGGGAAGGTGTAGAGGACAGGAGATGGGGGAAGGTGGGAGGATAGGGAGATGGGGGAAGGTGGGGAGGATAGGGGAGACAGAGGAGAAGTCAATACATTAAGATTGTCAACCTCTCTCTCTCTCTCTCTCTCTCTCTCTCTCTCTCTCTCTCTCTCTCATCCAAAATCCCATTCCAGCGTTCCTACTTCAATTCCTCAACCAATTTCTCTTTTCCAGCATCCTTTTTTTTACCATTCCAACGTCCTTTCCTCATTCCAACGCTTCCTTCCTTCTTCATTATAAAACCTCCTCCTCTTTATCTTCTCTCTACCTCCCTCCAGGCCAGAGAAGCAACAGGTACTCCTCCCCCCCCTCCCTCCCTCGATTCCATATTGACCCCCCCTCTCCTTATCCCACCACCTGCCCTCTTCCACCCCTCTCACCCTTCTTTACCTCTCCCCTACTTCCTTTGCCCTCCATGTATGCCTCACCACCTCAGGGACACGCCACACACGGGACCATCTACAGGTTCGACGTCAACACCCTCGGTAGTGAAGTAGACGAAACAAAATGACACACGGAAGAACACCAGTGATAAACCTCGGCATGTTGAAAGGGCCACGTAGGTCCCCCTCTTCCCCCTCCTCCTCTTTTCTCTCCCCCTTCTCTGCCTTCTCCTCCTCCTCCTCCTCCTCATCGTCGTGAAACATTCAACTAATGAGCCGTACGTAACATTCAGTGGCTCCCGGATCCCCTTGTAAACACCCTCCGAGCCATTCTCAGTGGGAACCTGATCTTACCACCAACTAAACTTTGGATCATCCCGCCAAGAACTTCATCACGGCGCTGTAAAGGATGATCGTGATAACCAGGAGGTCCTCTCTTTATACCCCCCCCCCCTCTCCCCCTCCCTCCTCCCCTCAACGTGAGAGTGAGAGAACACAACAAGGAAAAAAATATATCTCCCCTAACGCCGTATTATAGCCGTGAAAGCATCAGGGGAGAGATGAAGTCTGTCGAAATCTGCGCTATTTAATCCGAAGCAAAAAGAAAGTAGAAGCAGAGTGAGGGAGGGTGATGGTGGAGGGCGGGGAGGTAGGAAGAGTGGGAAGGAGGGAATGAGGGAGGGCAAGAGGGAGGGAGGGAGGGAAGGAGGGAGTTCTCAGACGAGCAGGCGGCGGAGGGGAGAACTTACACAGAGGCGAGTGTCCCGGGGGAACTGTGTCATTTTCTACTTTAACAAATTCGGTACGCGGGTATCTGTGAATCTGCGGAATTAGATATATCCTCCTGGGGCTTAAGTCCGCTAAGTCCCGCCCGGCCGCGTCGCGTGTCGGCTTGGCGCCAACATCCGCGACCACGATGACGACGCCTACAAGGTCTTCTTCAGGTATACATGTGTGTGTGTGTGTGTGTGTGTGTGTAGAGGGACTGTATGGCGTTGTTTATAAGTACCTGGAGTGTATTAATTAAATTTAGTAGGTATAGGTAATATGTGGTAGACTGTGGCATTATTTGGAAGGTAGGTTTTGGTGGTAACTGTTGGTGGTACGTGGAGGTAGTGGTAGGTGGTGGTGGTGGTGGTGGTGGTGGTAGAGGAGGCAGTGGTAGGTGGTGGTGGTGGTGGTAGAGGAGGTAGTGGCAGGTGGTGGAGGGTGGTGGAGGAAGTGGTAGGTGGTGGTGGTGGTGGTGGTGGTAGAGGAGGTAGTGGCAAGTGGTGGTAGTGGCAGGTGGTGGTGATGGAGGAAGTGGTAGGTGGTGGTGGTGGTGGTTACTGGTTGGAGGGGTTGGTTGGTGTTAATGGTGGTGGTAATGGATAGTGGTTATGGTGGTTAGTAGTGGTGGTTGATGGTGGTGATTAGTATTTTCTCCTTTACCCTGAATACTAATTAACTGCAGGTATAATAATTAAGGTAATATTAATTAACACTGGACAATATTATATTTATCTCGTAAAAAAAAGTAATAATTTGTTCCGTAAATTTAAAGAAAAAAAATAATTTGCAAACTTCATCAGTTATATAATTTCTTTCCTTACAAAACTGATAAAAATTTCCTCTCTTCTCTCCCCCATCCCATTCCTTCCTCCCTTTCCTTCTTTCCTCTTCTTCCTTCCCTCTACCCCCTTCCTCCTTCCCTCTACCCCTTCCTCCTCCCCCCTTCCTCCTTCTCTCTCCCCTTCCTCCTTCCCTTTCCTCTTTCCCTCTACCCCTTTCTCCTTCCCACTCCTCCTTCCCTCTCCCCTTCCTCCTTTTTCTCCTTCCTCTCCCTTCCTCCTTCCTTTTCTCCTCTCCCCCTCCCCTCCCTCCTTCCTCTCCTCCCCTCCCTTCCTCCTTCCTCTCCCCTTCCTCTCTCGCCCCCTTTCACAGCTTCTAAATTCAACAATGGCAGGTGTGGAAAATTGGAAAAGTTTACCTTACACGATTCCTGCCACCCGACCATGACAGACTCGTACCACCCGACCATGACAGACTCGTGCCACCCGACCATGACAAACTCGTGCCACCCGACCATGACAGACTGGTGTTACCCGACCAGGACAGACAAATTCACTCCTGATACGATATTCTTATAAAACAGAAAAAATATTGTGTGTGTGTGTGTGTAATTAGTACTGGAAATGTACTATATTAGAGTCAGGTTAGGTTAAGTTAGGTTAGGTTAGGTAGAGTTTCTTAACATGTCATCCTCCTAAATTTTTCCTCCCACAATTTGGAACTTATAATTAATTGAACCAAATTACCAAAATCAGCAACATGATTCACTGTCTTTTAAATAATATATAAACGTTGCCAAAATTACATATCTGGCAACTCCCATGGGCAGAGGAGGACTATATATCAACCTGAAGACGACAGTGGGGAGGTCAGTGTGTTGTCGGCTGTCAAAGGGTGTGTGTATATATAACGATATAGGTACAAAAATTAACACCGAAATTACACAGGGACTTGAAAAATAAATTAATGGTTTGTCTTATCTCAAGGCAATATGGCGTCCAAACTACTCCGAGACTTTAAACATAATGATATGGGTTTTTTATTCTTCCAGGAAAAAAAAAATAATAAAAATTAACACATGAATCTTAACTAGTCCGGAACCTGCCTGCTGTGGGTCACGTAACACAGTTCATCAGGTGCATTATAACTCTCTCTCTCCACACACACACACACACACACACACACACACACACACACACACACACACACACACACACACACACACACACACACACACACACACACACACACACACACACACACCTAAACATCGTCTTTACTCTGCGTGGATATATATCTCTCTCTCTATATATATAATTTCTTTTTTTTTAACCTCCGGTGTTTTCAGAACCTCAGCCCGGAACTGTGTATATACTGTATGGGAGGCAATCGATGTTGGCAACTTTTGTAAACAAACTAAGTTGCTATGGCGACGAGAGAGAGAGAGAGAGAGAGAGAGAGAGAGAGAGAGAGAGAGAGAGAGAGAGAGAGAGAGAAGGGGGATGTAGGGAAGGGCACCAGATGGCAGCGTACACAAACACACAAACACACACACACACACACACACACACACACACACACACACACACATCACGACACCTGGGAGACTTTAACTCTTATGGGTGTGTACATTATCGACCCTGTGTTATGATTTAATATGTCTGGAAGATTTTAATGGACAGGGCTGATAAATCATTGGCTTTTGTTTACGTGCGTGCCAATAAAACCTAACCTAACCTAACGGATTCCAAACATTAATTGTCTCTTTCACCTCCTACACCGTCTCTTACCATAACCACACTCGTCTACCACCACTACCACACTCGTCTACCACCACTACCACACTCGTCTACCACCACTACAACTATCACCACTACGCGACCTTACTCTACTACCACACTCAACCACAACCGCTTTAAACCAAATCATCTTTTACAACTACAACCACCACAATCATACTTGACACTACTTTCTGCTACGACAACCACAACTACCACCATTCATCCTTATTCCTACCACAACAACTACCACCATACTACCAGTTCCTCCTCCTCCTTCCTCCTCCTCATCTCTTTTGTTCTTCTTTTCTCTCCCTTCCTCTTCTCCTTCCGTTCTCTCCTCCCTTACTCCTTATCTCCCTCTTTCTCTCCCTCTCTCTACCCCTCCCCTCCCTACCCCTCCTTCTCCTCCCTACGTCAGTACCTCCCGGTAACCAGAGCCACAATGCGACCCGTAAAAAGCGCTGTTACAAGGGGGTTACATTATGGTGTGGGGCGTGTGGGCGTGAGCGGGCGGCCAGTGGGCGGATCAGTGGGGATTTACCGTATTTGCGGGTGTGAGTGAGTGTGTTTGTGTCTGCCCGGGTACACACACACACACACACACACACACACACACACACACACACACACAAAGACATACACACACACACACACACACACACATGCACACGCACACATTCAGACAGGTGTACACACGAGCCGACACAGCCAGATGAGGTGTGTGTGTGTGTGTGTATATTTAAGTCCGCCGGAGTATTGTAAGTAGTACACACACACACACACACACACACACACACACACACACACACACACACACACACACACACAGGTGGTACTTGTACTCAGTAAATCATACACATTCACCCTAACAGGTAATAAAACTTTACACTCAAAATAAATAAGAGTGCATGTACTCCGCAGTAAGAGACCGCAAACGCACTCAGCATGCCCTCACTTGAACACACTCAACATATATTCACATCAACGTACTCAATATAAACTTAAATCAACGCACTCAATACATACTCATACCAACACACTCAAAATGTACTCACACCAACGCACTCAACATGTATTCACACCAACGCACTTAACATATACTCACGTTATTCTTCGTGAACTCCTCGACAACGATAGGACAGATCATGCCACTCAGAGTACCAAAGCCGTTGCTAATGCCCATCAGGATAGATGCATAACGTGGGGCGATGTCCAAGTGATTAACATTAAATCCTGTGGAAGAGTAAAAAAGGATTAGTTATTGAACCTTTTAGGAGGATTTAAAAGTGATTACTGAACACTTGGGATTTAAAGGGGAAAAATAATGGAACCTTGGGATTTAAACGGATTAATTGAAGATTTTTAAAAGGATTACTAGAGGATTTTAACACTAAAGAGGAAGAGGAAGTGGAGGATGAGGAGGAGGAGGAGGAGAGGGAGAAGGAGGAAGAAGAAGAGGAGGTGGAGGAAGAAGAGATGGAGGAGGTTAAATGGACTACTGAACCCCTTAGAAAGAGGAAGAAAATGAAGAAAAGGGAAAATGAGGAGAAGAGACGGAAGACAAAATAAGGGAGAGGGAAGGGATACACGAAAAAAGGGAGAGGAGGTGGAAATGGATAGACGAAAGGGAAGAAGGGGTCAAGGAAGGGAGAAGTAAGAGAGGAAAGGGAAAGGAGGAAAGATGGATGAAGGGAAGGGAAGGGAAGGGAAGGGAAGGGTACAACTTGAAGACTTTGAGCAAAATAAAATCCCTAGGGGGAGTTTAGAAAGGGCAGGGAAGAGGAGGAGGATATGGGGTGTAAAGGGAGGGGAGAGGGGGTGTGAGGTGATGAGGGAGGGAAGAAGGGTTATGGGGTTATGAGAGAAGGAAGGAAGGAAGGAAGTAAAAGCGCTTTAACTCACCGCGACTCATAGGTAATGTTCGTCTGTTCGTCCGTCTGGCGGTGTACAAAGAGTGTCCACACAATCCTCCTCCTCCTCCTCCTCCTCCTCCTCCTCCTCCTCCTCCTCCTCCTCCACTTCCTCCCTCCCTTATCCAATATCTTCCTTATTACGCTCAATTGTCTTCCACCAGTATTCTATTAAGGTCACAGTTGGGTGAGTGTTTCCTTCCTCCTCCTTCCTCCCTCTTCCCCCTTCCCTTCCATCCTCCTTTCTCCCCTTTTCTCCCCCTTTCTTTCTTTCCTTTCTCCTCCTTATTTCTCTCCTTCATTCTTCTCCTCCCTTCTTTCTCTCCTCTTTCCCTTCCTCTTCTTTTTTTATCTTCTCTCTCTTTCTTCCCCCTTCCTCCTCTCTTCTTCCCCTCATCCTCCCCCTCCTTCTTCCCCGGTCAATTTATGACCATTGCATGTGAACCATAGTGGTAATGGTCTCAGTGCATTATACAGATTGTCCCCCGAGCCTTAGGGAATATCCCCCAACACCCTATAACATCTTCCCCTGATTTAGGGACCTGGCGACCCTAGGCCTCGTTTGGGTCCGGTCCACCTCAAGCGCCTTCTCACCCCTGTACAACCCCTTAAACTTAGATCCGATTCATGTAAAGGATATTATTATTATTTTTATTATTATTATTATTATTATTATTATTATTATTATTATTATTATTATTATTATTATTATTATTATTCCAATATTTCTATTACCCAGACTGACCTAACACTCCACCTCAGGACGTAATTAACCCTACTTGACCTGACCTTAAAAATCAAGTCCTAACCCTAGCTGACCTCCTGGCCCTTGATCCTCGTTCGGGTGGACCCTGGGGGCGCTGTTAGGGTGGAGGCTGGAGATGGTAACTTTAAAAATATTAAGATGCAAGGTCATGACCCGGAGATGTGGGATCAAGGGCGCTCTGCCTCCACCATCACCAGCCTTAATGTGACCCCACGAACCATTACTGCACCAGGAGGAGGAGGAGGAGGTGGGGGTGGAAGAGGAGGAGCAGGAGGAGGAGGAAGAGTTCCCACTTGAAACTTCACTCCCCTGGGAACCTCACCAACTTGATAAAAGATTTCATCAAATGGATTTCACCCCAGCGTCCTTCCCTCCCCTCCCCTCTCCACTCCTTCCCTCCCATTCCCTCCCTTCCCCCTCTCCTCCCTCCCCTCCCCTCTTACCCATCCCTTCTCTCTTCTTTCTCTCTCCTCTCCCCTCCTGCCCTACATCTTTCCTTCCTCTTCCCTCCCTTCCCCCTTTCCTCCCCTTCCCTCCCTTCCCCCTCTCCTCCCCTTCCCTCCCTTCCCCCTCTCCTCCCCTCCCTTCCCCTCCCCTCTTACCCTTCCCTTCTCTCTTCTTTCTCTCTCCTCTCCCCTCCTGCCCTACATCTTTCCTTCCTCTCCTCTTCCTCCTCCTCCTCCTCCTCCTCCCTGGGAAAGCTTGGGAGGCTGGCGTGTTGATCTTGATAACAGTGATACAGTCACTCCTGGGAGAGGGCGGAAGGGGGGAGAGGGGGAGGGAGAAGGGGGAAAGGAAGGAGAGAGGGGGAGGGAGAAGGAGGAAAGGAAGGAGAAAGGAGGGAAAGGAGGGAGGGGTAGGGGAGAGTGAGGGAGAAGGAAGGAGAGACAGGGAGAGAGAAGGAAGGAGAGAGGAGAAGGAGGGAGAGAAGGGGAGGAGAAGGGAGAATAAAGGAGGGGGAAGGAGAGAGAAATGGGGGAGGGGGAAGGAAGGAAAGAGGGAGAAGGAAGGAGGAGGGACGTAAAAGGGAGAGGAAGAAAGGAGGAGCGAAAGAGAGAGAGAGAGAGAGAGAGAGAGAGAGAGAGAGAGAGAGAGAGAGAGTGAGTTATTATTACAACAACAACAAAACTAACCTAACCAAAACAACAACATTAACATAAACAAAAATAGCAACAACAACAACAATATAACCATTAAGGCCTAACTATCCAGACACTATTCTTAATTAACAGAATAGTTCAGCCACTCACTATCCTTTCTCCAGCCTTCCACTCTCCTCCATCCTCCTCCTCCTCCATCCATCCCTTACCTCCTCCACCTCCTCTCCTCCTCCACCTCCTCTCCTCCTCCTTCTCCATCCACCCCTTTCCTCCTCCACCTCCTCTCCTCACTCCTTCTCCATCCACCCCTTTCCTCCTCCATCTCCTCTCTTCCTCCTCCTCCATCCACCCCTTTCCTCCTCCACCTCCTCCTCCTCCTCCTCCTCCTCCTCCATCCACCCCCCTTTCCTGCTCCACCTCCCTCCTCCTCCTCCACCCACCCCTCTCTCCTCCAAGCGACTTCTGATCGTCCATTTCCATTGACTTTCTTTATCCTTTCTTTCATCGATAACCTTTAACAGTCAAATCACAACCACTACCATACCTTGTTCCCCCACTACCACCACAACAACCACACCACAACATAACCCTACATAACCCTCCTTCCTCCCTCCACCACAACAACCACACACCTCAACATAACCCTACTACAACCCTCTTCCCTCCCTCCACCACAACAACCACACACCACAACATAACCCTCCCTCCCTCCGTCCCCTCCACCACACCAAGACAACAGCTCACACCAGGATACAGAGGGCAGTAATCTCCCGGTAATAAAGAGAACTGCCGCCACCAACCAATGGGCCGGAACACCACACAGCTCCTGTACAAAAGACTCTTAATCAAGCGAGAGTACAAGTTAATCGATGATGGAATTTCAAGCCTTCAATGATGTGAGTTTTCTTAGTTTGAACATTAAGGGAGGCGCCACACTCCCCTTTCCTTACCTCCCTCTCTCATTTCCCTCTCTCCTTCTATTTTTCTATCCTCTCTCCTCCTACCCTCCTTTTCTTCCTCTCTCCTCCCACCTTCCCTCCTCCCCACCTCCCTCTTCTCTCCCACCTCCCTCCCTTTCTCCCCCTCCCTCTCCCCTCCCATTTCCCTCTCCTATCCTCTTCTACCTCTCTCCTTCCCTCCTAGTTTGCTGTTGTTGTTGTTGTCTGTGAATAGTTTTTAGGGAGTAGAGAAGGGTGAAGGAAGGTTAGGGAGGGAGGGAAGGAAAAGGGAGAGTGAGGGATGGAAGGAAAAGGAAAGGAAGGGTGGGTAGAACGGGGAGACAGAACTCAGACAGGTGAATGAAGGGAAGAAGGGGTAAGGGGGTAGGAAGAAGAGGGATGGAGGGTGATAGAGGGGAAAAGGGGAGGGAGTGAAAAGAAAGAAAGGGAAGGGAAGGGCAAGAAGAAGAGGGAGGGGGAGGGACAAAAATGAGAAGGAGGGGGAAGGGAAAGAAGGAGAGGGATGGAAATGGGCACGAATGAGAGTGAAGGGTGGGGGAGGGCAAGAAGAAGAGGAAGGAAGGGGAGGGCAAGAAGAAGAGGAAGGGGAAGGAGGGCAAGAAGAAGAGGAAGGGAAGGGTAGGGCAAGAAGAAGAGGAAGGGAAGGGGAGGGGCAAGAGGAAGGGGAGGGGCAAGAAGAAGAGGAAGGGGAAGGGGTAGGGGCAAGAAGAAGGGTAAGGAAGGGGAAGGGGGCCATTTGAAAGGTCTAAAAGCCTCAATACGAACACCTTTATGTGTGCTACGTTATCGACTTCAGATTTCAGAATGATGAAGCTCCCACATACAACCATCAACATTCACTGTAATATTCGGGACCTTCTAAACATCAAAATATCAAAGAATCGGAGTTTCCCCACATTCGAATATCCGGTATTTGAATGTTCGGAAACTTGGCAAATTTCCCTGTGTCCGGATTTGCCGCTGTGAATATTGCTATTAGGAGGAGGACAGATTTGATTACCGGGAGTTGTAATTGGATTTAGAGACGTATCGATATGACTTAATGGAGAATTTCGTTTTATCGACGTCCCTATTTTTACTGTTGGTGTTAACTCCCAATTTATAACACAGGCTTCCTTTCCCTATTATATACAGTATATTATTGATGGTAGTCCCAATTTAACACACTGACACCCCCATTACCACCAATTTAACACACTGACACCCCCATTACCACCAATTTAACACACTGACACCCCCATTACCACCAATTTAACACACTGACACCCCCATTACCATCAATTTAACACACTGACACCCCCATTACCACCAATTTAACACACTGACACCCCCATTACCATCAATTTAACACACTCAATCTTTCTTTTGTTTATGTCATTTCATCGTTGACTGCTCTTCTCCCCATCATACACAGGGACAATTTAACGTACGGGTTTTTGAGAATCCATCCACGTAGCTTCAGTGAAAGAGAAGACGCTCTGTAATATTCTAAATCTTAGATAGAAATTTTAACGTAAGAATTTTTGGAGACTTGCACTTTAATGTACATAGCTCAACTAAGACAAAGTTTAAGATAAATTGTCTTTAGCAGGTGGGGTGGGGTGGGCAGGGTGGATGGGGTGGCAGGGGATGGGGTGGGCAGGGTGGATGGGGGCAGGGTGGATGGGGTGGGGTGGATGTGGGGTGGCAGGGGTGGGTGGGAGTGGCAAGGTGGGTGGGGTGGGTGCAAGGTGGTGGGGTGGCAGGTGGATGGGTGGCAGGGTGGATGGGGTGGCAGGTGGATGGGGGTGGTGAGGGGTGGATGGGGTGGGAGGGTGGGGTAGGGTGCAGGGGATGTGGGGTGGCAGGGTGGATGGGGTGGCAGGTGGATGGGGGCAGGGGTGGAGGGGGCAGGGTAGATGGGCAGCAGGGGTGGATGGGGTGGCAGGTGATGGGTGGCAAGGTGGGTGGGGTGGTAAGGTGGGTGAGTGGCAGAATGGGTGGAGTGGCAGGGAGGGAATTAACTCCTTGATTACAAAACTTTGGATCACTTTCCAACCCATTATTGGAAATTTTCCCCAAACCTCTTGATCTTTATTATCACACGTCTTCATCCTCCTAGAAAATGGGGAATAATCAGCCTTATAGAAAATGGGAATTGACGACCTCTTAGAAAATGGGAATCAACATCTTTTTAGAGGAGGGTAAGTCAAGGTAGTGTACCCCCCCTCCTCCCCCTCCAACAAGAGGTCACGTTTCTCCTCTCATGGATTTGCTGACCTGACCACCTCCCCTCCCTCCCCCTCTCTCTCTCTCCTCTCCTCCTCCTCCTCTCTTTTCTTCTCTTCCTCTTCCTTATATTTTGATTTGTATCTTTCATCTTCTCTTTTGTTTTCTTCCTTCCCGCTAGTTGCTATTTCTTGCGTTCCTTCTTCAATCTTGTTATCATTCTTATCCCTTTTCTTCCTTTCTCTCCTCTACAATCTCTTGTCTTTTCCCTTTTCTCTCCCCTTGTTTCATCCCCTTCTCTCTCTCTCACCTAATTATCTCCTTCCCAACCTCCCCTTTCTCTTTCTCCTTTTCCTTAATTTGTTCTTTTATCCTCTCCTTCTTCTCTCGTTTCCCCTAATCATCATCGTTTTCTTTATTTATCGCTTTCTCTTCTAAGTACTGATCCCTCTCTGTGTGTCTTTATCTCCCCTCTATCCCATCCCCTCTTCCCTCTGTTCCTTTCTCCCCTTCTCCCAGCACCACGTCTTTCCCTCGTCTCCTCCTCCACCTCTTTTGTCCTTACCTCTCTTCCTCCTCTCCTCTTCCTCTCCCCTCATCATCATTTCCCTCCCTCTTCATTTCCCCCCCATCTCCCTCTGTCACCTCCCCTCACCTATCCTTGTCATCTCCTCTCAACTCCTCCTAAAAGTCTCCCCTCGCCTCCCCTCACCTCTCTCTCTTCCTCTGTCCTTACCTCACTCGTCACCTCCCCTCATCTCCCCTTATAACTCCCTTCACTACCTCCCTCATCTCCTTGTCAGCTCTTCACTACCTCCCTTACCACCTCCCTCCTCTCACCCTCTCACACCCCCTCTGTTCCCGCTAAAAGACTGGATGTCACAGCTGATAAGATAGGCAGTCAGACCATTAACCCGCTGTTCTCTTAACCAATCAACGTCGCTGCTCACAGTTAACTACCTGAGGCTTATAAACCCCAGTCCTAGTAGGCACCTGTTCTATTAGTCCCTAATTCTAGTGTGGCCCTAGTTCTAATAGGCCAACAGTTCTAGTAGGGCCCAATTTAGTAGGCCCTAGTCTTAATAGGGCCTGTTCTTACTTTTTCACCAGTATTGTCCAGGAGGATGGAGTGGAAGATGAGGGGAGGAGGAGGGGAGGAGGAAGAGGATGCAGAGGAAGAGGAAGGAGGAGGAGGATGGGGGAGGAAGAGGATGCGGAGGAAGAGGAAGGGAGGAGGAGGATGGGGGGAGGAAGAGAAGGAGAAGAGAGAAGAGGAGGGGAAGGAGGAAGAAGAAGGGGAGGAAGGAGAGGGGCGGGAGGAAGAGAAGGGGGAGGAGGAAGAGAAATTGGTCAAAAGGAGAAGGAGGAAGGTAGATCAAGAGGAAGGGAGGAAGAAGGAAGAGATGTCATTCGATGGAGCTAACACACTGATTCGAAGGGAGAGGGAAGAGAAAAGAGGAAAGAGGAGGGGGGGGAGAGGAGAGGGTAAGGGGGAAAGTAGGGAGTGAGTGTTAGGATCTTAAGGTGATGTCCCGGGGAGATTATTGCTCAGCCTTCTCATAACCTAATCTCCCTTGCCCCCCCTATTCTCCCTCATCTTACTCTCCCTCACTGTATTCTCCCTCACCCTACTCTCCCTCAGCACACACACACCCATCACTTTCCACCCATTCTCTTCACTAACTCCCACACTCACTCTCACTCTCCCTACCCTCACTCTCACCGTTCCTCTCCCCTCCATTTCTCCAGAGAGAGAGAGAGAGAGAGAGAGAGGATGATGAAGGGTAAAAGGAGGGTGGAGGAGGGTGAGAGTTGGAGGGAGGGAGGGAGGGAGGGAGGGAGGGTTGAAAGGGAGGGAGTAGTGGGACGGAGTGAGAGTCGGAATTGTGGGCAGTGTTAAAGGAAGGAAGGAAGGAAGGAAGGAAGAATACACCTAGTGAATTCAAACTCACTTTACCTGATATAGCAAAGCCGGAGAAGCCAACAGCGATGGTGAGGGAGGTAATGGCGACCCTGGTGTCTCTACTGAAGGCGGTCACCATCAGGAATATCGCCTCCATCCCGAAGCCGCCACAGTTGAACAGCTTCCTCACAGTCGTCGTTGACATGATTTTGTTCTTACGGAAGTAGTCGGCAAGTTGACCCCCGAACGGCACTATGATGGCCATGACCAGGTGAGGCAAGGCCGAGATGGTCCCGCTCTGTGGAAGGAAGGAGGGAAGGGAGGGAAGGAAGGAGGGACGACGTGATAAGGCAAGTAGGACTGAAGATGACCTCACATGACCCCCCAGATGACCCACAGAATAAAAAAACAGAGATGAAATTAGAATCTACCCCCAGGCGACGAACCTTGGCTATATCGTATTCGAAGACCTCCTTGAAGTACTGAGGTTGTGAGATGATGAGGAGGTAGAAGGTCCACGAACGGGCGATGTTGGCCACGACGATCGCCCACACTGGCATCGAGGTGGCGAACGCTCTCCAGGGTGTCGTGGAGAATGTGGGCTGCTTAAACCGCTATGGTGGTGGTGGTGGTAGAGGGGCAGGTCAGTCGTGTTATCCTATTCACTCAACCTAAACCTAACGTAACTAAATTAAATCGACACACCAACTTTTAATATATAAATCTTCATAAAAAAAAACTTGGTTGTGTTTTTTCTACTCGGGAAGAATGTCTCATTAAATAATTCCCTCTTGGAGAATGACCTCGTCAATAATAACCAAACATCATAAATGACTTGATTGAGATGCCAAAAAAAAAAACATTGGTAAACGCAACATTAGTAAAACGCTTAGATTAAAACCTACCTAAAAAATCAGCCAACATCGTTCATATACAGAAGCACACCTACTCATGGGGGTGTCAACAGTTAGCTATGCTGAGGCCTTACCTGTTTACCGAGACTCTCCTCAATGTACTGCTGCTCTCTGGCGCTGATGGTGGGATGGGTCGCTGGCTTCTCAAACGCCAACCAGTACCAGAAGAACCCCCACGTGACACCAACCATACCTGTGTGTGTTGAAGGTGTTAGTGATTGACCCCAACCCCCCCCCCCTTGTTTATATAACAGTCACAACCACCTACAGTAATAATCACAGAGCCTCAACTTACCGAAGAAGTAGAAGGGTGCGGGCCAACCTATTCCCTCCGTGAGCCAGGCAGAGACAGGCATACCCACGACGGCGCCCGCGTAGCTACCACATAAGGCCAAGGTAGCGAGCCTCGACCTCTCCAGCGGCGGTGCCCAGTTCCTCCAGATGCCGTGACACGCAGGGTACGTCACACCCTTGAGGGAGAGACAGTGTTAGACGGAGGAGGAAGAGGGTGTTTAAAAGAGAGAGGGAGGGTGGTGTAAGGAAGAAGGAAAAGTGAGGGGGGTGGAGGAAGGAGACGTGAGGGTGGAAGGAGGCTTGGGTAGGGGTGGAGGGAATGTGATGGAGGACTAAGACAAGGTGAGACAGCGTAATGGAGGGGAAGTAACATGGACGGGAATTGGAATAGACGAGGGGGGGCACGGACGGGAAGGGGCATGGACGGGAGGGGGCACGGATGGGAGGGGGCACGGACGGGAGGGGGGCACGGACGGGAGGGGAAGGCGGGCAGGAAAGCGGCCCTCTGGGAGCCAACGAGCCCGGCTTTGTCCCACACACGTTCACCAACACAATGCAATATTGATGTGTCTCTGCCCTCCCTCCTCCCCCTCCCTCTCCTCTCTCCCTCCCTCCCTCCCCCCCACCCTTCCTCACCCACCATGATCTCTCTCTCTGTTAATTCCTTACTCAACCTTTTACACTACACCTAACCCAGTCTACCTCCACTACCATCTTATCTACCCTCAATTTCATCTCAGCTACCTGTACAGCCATCCCACTTACCACTACCACCACAACTACCACCATTCTAGCTACCACCGCCACCACCGTCCAACTACTACCACCGCCATCCCTCTATCACAACCACCATTCCATATACCACTACCACCACCCACCTATCACCACTACCACCATCCATTTACCATCATCCCCACCACTCCATCTACCACCACCACCACCATTCTATCTACAACTACCACCCCCACCCCCCCATCCACCACCATCGCTAAATTCATCTTACGTCTCCATTAACGAAGAAAATTTAACGAAAAAAGTCTTTGCGAATCCCAGCTTACGTGTGGCTACTGTCAAAACACGTCCGTGACAAGTTACGACATAGGGTGCTCTCTTACACACGCACACACATGAAACCAACCCTTCAACTGTAAAGCAACAACTCACGCTGGCTAAGGAACGTCCACCACTACTAAACACAAGTAATCGATTTTCCCGCTCCAAAAAAAGACCCCTGCCTCATAATGATCCCTGGGCGCGCGTCAAAAATTCGAGACGAGTTTTATACATGAATTTTATGACTGGTAGCGGGGAGGGACAATCACATTCCTCCCCTTGTTAGACACCAGTTAACCCCTGTCCTGCCATCACACCCCTCAAGGTTTCCCGCGCTTTTTTGGTTTGCGTTCCCCATGTTTGTTTGTTTTTCTTGATTTTCCCGCGCTTTTTTCTTTACGTCCCTAATGTTTATATTTTTTCTTGTTTTCCAGATTTTTTGGCGGGTTTTCTTATGTTTACATTTTTTACATTTGTATTAAGCTGTAAATAAAACCAATACGTTTCTTATTAGGTTATAAATTATACCTACAATTTACATTTTCTGTAGTATATATAAGAACTAGGGGTCGCTTCTCCTTCCACTGTAAATAAAACCTAGAAACAAATCAGTAAATTGTAAAAGCTACACAAAAACCTCAGTAAACTGTAAATGGATGTGTAAATCAATGAGACATGGTAAATTAGGGATGGAGAGAGGCGTGAATAAATGCGACACGAAGAATGTACAGAGGAGAGAGGAAGAGCAGAGGAATGTTGAGAACAGTTAACAGCAACCAGTGAATGAGGGAGGGAGGGAGGGATAAGGGAGGGAGGGAGGGAGGGATAAGGGAGAAGATAGGGAGAGTTTTTAGATGGAAGAAGGGACGAAAAGGGGGTGGTTATACGAAAGATGGATGGAAAGGAGGAAGGGAGACGACCTGAAGGGAGGAGGAAGGGAGAAAAGAGAAGAGGGAGGTGGAGAGAGGAGTGAGAGGGGAAGGGGGATGAGAGATGGATAGAGGAAGAGGATATAGAGATGGAGAGAGGTAAGGATAAAAGGGAGAGGAATTAGAAGAAGCAGGAAGATAAGGTATAGAGGAATGGAAGGGTGAAGGAAAAGGGGATTAAACAAGGAGTGAGGGAATGGTAAAGAGGCGAATAGAGGGAGGAAAAGAAGGAGGGAAGAAATGAGGATGAAGGAAATGTGGATGAAGAGAAGGGACAGATGAAGGGAGGAAAAACAGAAAAGGAGTAAAGGGAGAGGGGGAATGAGATGAAGGAGGGAAAGAAAGAAGGGTGAAGGAAAAGGAGGGAGGAAGGGGTAGAGAGAGAGAGAGAGAGAGAGAGAGAGAGAGAGAGAGAGGAGGAGGAGTAGGAGGAGAGAGGAGGTAGGCTACATTAATGGCCAAGCAATGAGGTGTTGGGCTGGGACAAATGGAGCGTCGCCCTACAAGACAACAAAGAGAGGGTGGTCCTTCACTGCCATCCCCCTGCCCCCACCACCACCCCTTACCTCAGCCCCCCACCCCCCACCCCCCCCACACACCCTGTGTCGTTTTCTCCACCGACTGTTTCTATTTTATTACAATTGTTAACTTTACCATAATAGTATGTAGGTTAACATGTTCAGTGGTGGCAGGGGGGGGGGCTGTATTTAAAGGTGTTAAAATACTCCCCCTATTCCGTTTCACCCCCCTTCCTTCTACCCCTTTCCCTTCCTCCACTCCCTCCCCTTCCCGAAATTTAGAAAAAAAAATATCTGAAAATATTCATTAAAAGAGAGCACTTTATTTAATTGATCACATTATAACACTAACGATAACAATTAGTGGTTGAGTTTACCTAATTACAATAATAACCTTACCTGTAATTACTGTAGACTCTCCCCGAAGAAAAAAATAGTGATATTTTCTCTTAAATCTTAACTCTATAGTAGTCGTAATTATGGTTGTTAATCCTAGAAAAAAATATTCGTGTTTAAATATTTTTTTGTTTACTCTGACACACCTGTAATTACCGTAAGCTTTAATGCAAGGTATTTATAGGTGTAATAATAATAACAATATGGTGTATCTCCTCTCCTCGCCTACCTTCCCTTCCCTTCCCCTCACCTCTCCCTTTTCCTTCCTTCCTTCCTTCATCCATCTTCCTTCTCCGCCTCTCTTCTTTCCCCTCCTTTTTCCTTCCTTCCTTCACCTCTCCCTCTTTCTTCACGCCTCTTAATCGCATCCACCCCCCCCCACTTCTTTCACCCCCATCCTTTCCTTCACCCACACCCCTTCCTTCACCCACACCCCTTCCTTCACCCACACCCCTTCCTTCACCCACACCCCTTCCTTCACCCACACCCCTTCCTTCACACCCCATGGTCGTGATGGTGGTTATGGTGATGCCGGTGGTGTAGGTGGTGAGGTATGGTAGTTGGTGTGATGGTGATCTGTGGTGGCGTGAGTTCTCTCAGGACTGGGGCCCACCAGGACTGGGGCCCAATAGGACAAGGGGGGGGGGCCTCTATTCTGACTGAGCTCGAGTGGCGATGGTCTCACTGTATCGAAGCCTCAGGAAGCATCGATTAGTTACGAGACTGAGATTAAGAGAGAGAGAGAGAGAGAGAGAGAGAGAGAGAGAGAGAGAGAGAGAGAGAGAGAGAGAGAGAGAGAGAGAGAGAGAGAGAGAGAGAGAGAGAGAGAGAGAGAGAGAGAGAGAGAGAGAGAGAGAGAGATCTTTAGAGAAGATTATAAGAGATTGAGAGGAACCGAGAAATACCAGACCTACTGTACACCCAAGTCCTGACAGCCCCAGCCATATCAGCCCCCTATCCTAATACACCTAAGTCCTAAGACCCCCAGTCCTAATAGACCCCAGTTGTAATAGACCCCAGTTCTGACAGCCCCCTCCAGATCACTGCTCCAATACCCGGAGTCTCAGACGTTCTTAAGTAAAGTCACTCCTGTAATGGAAGACGTGAGGACGCATCTAACTGACCCATTTAAAGCTGCAGCGCCATTAGAGTTGGGCTGTCCAAAATGGCGTCAATATTGCACAGGGACTCTCTTATACCTGGTCACGAACTCTACCACAGCCAGGTCACGAACTCTACCATAGCCAGGTCACGAACTCTACCACAGCCAGGTCACGAACTCTACCATAGCCAGGTCACGAACTCTACCACAGCCAGGTCACGAACTCTACCCAGCCAGTCAGGAAGGGAATGTAACACAAGTGAATTTAGAGTGAGTTGTCAATGGATCTAGCCAGTGAGAGGGGTGGTGGTGAGAGGGGTGGTGGTGAGGTGGGGTGGTGTGAGAGGTGGTGCGACTGGGGTGAGGTGGTGGGAGAGAGTGGGGGGGTGGGTGGGGAGGAGGGGTGGTGTGGAGAGGGGTGGTGTGGAGAGGGGTGGTGTGAGAGGGTGAGGGTGAGAGAAGGTAGAGAGGTGGGGAGGAGAGGGGTGAGGTGGAGAGAAGGGGTGGGTGGGGAGAGGGGTGATGGAGGATAGGGGTGGTGGGAGGTGGTGGTGAGAGGTGGGAGTGAGGGGGGGTGAGGTGGCAGAGAGAGGGGTGGTGAAGAGAGGGGTGATGAGAGAGGGGTAGTGGGAGGGTTGTAAGAAAGGTAAAAGGACAAGGAGAAGGGGAAAGACAAGGAGAGGAGGAGGAAGAGGGGAGGAGGGAGGAAGAGGGAGGGGGGGGGAGGAAGAGGAGGGGGAAGAGAGGAGGAGGAAGAGGGGAGGGGGGCGTAAGAGATAAGAAGATCTGAAGGCGGCTCTGCACAAGAATAGAACCAAGTCTGGTAATCGGTGCCTGTGCTGGCCTGGGAGGGGAGGTGAGGGGAGACTGGGGAGGAAAGGAGGAGAGAGACAGGGGAAAGGAGGCAGGGAGAGAGTGGTTGAAGAGAGGGTAAGGAAGTGAAATGGAAGAGGGAAGAGACGAGAGTGGAGGAAGGAAGAAGAGAAAGAATACCTGGGGAAGGGGAGGGAAGGAGGGAAGGACGGGAGAGGAGTGGTAGAGGATAGACGAGAGAAGGGTAGAGAAGGGAGAGAAGTGAAAAGGAAGAGAAAGACAGAGAGAAGGGAAAAAGGGGTAAGGAAGAGAAGGAATAAGTGGAAGGGAGAAGTAAGTACAGACAAGAGTGAGAGAAAGGATGGGGAAGAGAGAAAGAGAGAGAATGGGGAGGAGATGGAGAAGTGGGGAGGGTTAAGGGGGGGGGCGGTGACTTGTAGAGAATGTAGGGAGAGTTGTAGGGGATGAAGGAGAAGAGAAGAGGGTGGGGGAGAGAAGAAGAGGGTGGGGGAGAGGAGAAGATGGTGGAGGAGAAGAGAAGAGGGTAGGGAAGAGGGTAGGGGAGAAGAAAGGAGGGTGGGGAGAGGAGAAGAAGGTAGGGGGAGAGGGTAGGGGAGAAGAAAGGAGGGTGGGGAGAGGAGAAGAAGGTAGGGGAGAGGGTAGGGGAGAAGAAAGGAGGGTGGGGAGAGGAGAAAAAGGTAAGGAGATATAGTAGGTCGCATTAAAGTCAACCATAAATAAACATATCAGATAACACTATGGGCAATTAATCCAGATATCCTGACTAACGCATCTTAAACCCTCGTTACTAATCAAAACACAAATTCACCCTTAGCTGTTGTTTTAAGCTAAATAAACAGCTAACGGAGAGATCACATAGCCGTCGTTGTCAAAGCTATACACATGGACACGTCATCACACAGTTATAATTTTATCATCGGGGGAAGTGAGTCATAACATTACGTCATTGTTACGACGGCATCATCATCATCATCATCATCATCATCATCATCATCATCATCATCCCGTGGCAAACATGTCGCTGTTGACATGATGTAACTCTCCCTTCCGCCTTATCTGGAATCCTTGCATAAAATGAGGATTACAGTGTGTCCAAGAGTGAATCAGAAATAGGTCAGGTTTGTGCGTGAAGGAGAGGATTACACACACACACACACACACACACACACACACACACACACACACACACACACACACACACACACACAGAGGAAGACAGCTCCGGAAATTCGCTTTATGATTAATGTTGAAGGTGAGAATTTCAAGATGGCAATAACTCCTACCTCACTTTTTTACACCTGTTTTATTTACACTTATTTACATCTGTTAATTTACACCTGTTTTATTTACAACTGTTTTTATTTACATCTTCAATTTATTTCTTCTTTTCCATTTTCAATTTCATTTACACCATCGGTTTTTTTTTTACATTTATTTACACCTCTCGTTTTATTTACACTTTAGATTTATTTACAAGTATTTTTCATTTCCCTTTGAATTTACACATTTAATTCCATCTACCTTATTTACACAACCTCCATCATTTACATAGTCGACAGTATTTGATTTACACTTTCTCGGTGATATGTTTGTTTACAGCATTTGTATTCGTGTTTCATTTACAGTTATGCCACCTCTTTCCATCCTCTTAAACGAAGAAGGGAGGAGGAGGAAGAGGAGAAGAGAGGGAGGGTGAAGAGGTAGGTTGAGAAGAGGAGGAGGAAAAGGAAGAGAGGGAAACTGACAAAAGGAAGAGGAGAGGGAAGATGAGAAGAGGATGAGGGAGGAAGAAGAGGAAGGAGGAGAGGAAGATTCTGAAGAGGAAGAGGGGGGGGAGGAGGAGGAGGAGGTGGTTCATCTGAAGACAAGGAGGATGAGGTTGAAAATAAGAGGAAGGAGGAGGAGGTAGAAAGAAATAAGAAGAAGAAGAAGAAGAAGAAGAAGAAGAAGAAGAAGAAGAAGAAGAAGAAGAAGAAGAAGAAGAAGAAAGAGGAAAAACGAAAGAGACGAATGAGAAGGACAAATAAGGAGAAGAAAGAGGACAAAGGAATAGAAGGAAGGGGAGAAAGGAACACCAGAGAGGGAGAGGGGAAGTGAGGGAGAGGGAAGGGGGTGAGGGAGAGGGGAGGGGTGAGGGAGAGGGGAGGGGGTGAGGGAGAGAGTAAGGGAAGGAGAAAAGGAGAGGGTAAGGGAGACGATAACGCAGATGGGAAAGGGGAGAGGGTAAGGGAGCAAAGAGAGGGTAAGGGAGAAGAGGGAGGATGTAGGAGAGGGGAGAGGGAGAGGCCGAAAGAGGGAACAAGGAGTGAGAGGAGAGGAGTGGGGAAATCAAGAAGCAGAAGAAAGAGGAAAAGAAAACGAAGGAACGATGGAGGAAAGACAAAGAGGAGATGGAAGAGGAAGAAGAACAAGAGGAGGTGGAGGAAGAGGAGGTGGAGATGGAGGAGGAAGAGGAGGAAACGGGGAGATTTACGAACGAACTGTTGCAATTACGGACAGAGAAGTGAAGGAGGTTTGTGTTACAGCAAAGAGAGAGGAAGAGGTGGAAGAGGAGCGTGACCTAGCATGGGTGGAGGAGGCTGGTGGAGTGGGGGGTGGAGGGGGGGTGGTGGTGGGGGGTTGGGGGGGTGGAGGGTGGGGGGTGGTATCTGTAGCCTCGGGCAGGAGTTGCTTCCGTTGACCTCTCACCAACAAAAGCCACTCTGCCCTTACCCCACTCCTCCCTCACCCCACTCCTCCCTCACCCCACTCCTCCTTCACCCCACTCCTCCCTCACCCCTCTTCCTCTTCCTCATTATTCCCCTTAACACCCCATCACCTCCCCAAGCCAATACAAGCCCCATTCACCAACAGCCCCATTCACCAACAGCCCCATTAACCAACAGCCCCATTAACTTGTCACTCAAAATAATCGGTATAATTACTACATACAATCATCAACAAAGACTCAATTTTCCTTTAAGTTTTCATAAGTAAACCACCATTAATTTTTTGCCTATTTTATGAAGCCAGGTGATATATGGGTCACCTGGGCAATTAACAACGGCACTATAATCTGCAGGTGATACATTGTAACATTTTCTCAGGACACATCAAGACACTTTATGTATTCTTACTTTCTTTCTTTCTTTATTCCTTCTTTCTCCCCTTTCTTCATTTTCTCTTTAAATTCATGTCCTCTTCTATTCTGTCATTTTCTTCACTTCTCATTCTTCCCTCCCTCCTTCCATCCTTCCCTCCCTCCTTCTCTTCATTCTCTCCCTCATCTCCACTCTAACCGCGACAGAAATCTTTAAAATTAATGATGACACGAGACTTTTAGCCTCATCAACACCTCCATCCCTCCCTCTCCCTCCCTTTCCTTCCCTCCCTCTCCTTCCCTCTCCCTCCCTTTCCTTCCCTCCCTCTCCCTTCCTCACCTCCACCAGGCCTTGCAGTACTCTGACGCAGATGGCAGCTACTGGGTGCAGCCTGGATGCCCCTGGCAACAGCATATTCAATATCGCCGTGGTGGTGATGGCTGACCCGAACACTCTGTAAAATACATCCTTATACAATCATACGCGTCGTGAAAAGGACTACACATACATCATACATCATAAAACACTATAGGATACATTCATCTATGACACTGTAAGGTGCATGGTTCGAATACCGAGTAGAGTTGAGGACTGGGTATATACAGTCTTGTTGTACACATGATAATAATAAATGGATTCTGGAAATATTCTAACAAGAGGAGTAGAAGTAACTCAGTATGACTATAAACAAACACAAAAGCAAAAACAAAACTAAATTCTGAATCATAAAAGGATATACACTATACCTCCCATATTGTATTGTGTATGAGAGTTTGTCCATGTATTATAAAGTCAGGTGGGTAAATGGTTATACTTCATACATTATGCATAGTTATGTAATACAAGATATAAGGGAAGGGTGCTGGTGAGGACACAGGCCGAAATCAGCCCATTTAATCAGGTCTTCAACCCAACCCAACCTAAACAAACCAACCCAACCTAACTAAACCAAGCCAACCCAACCCAACCTAACCCAACCCAACCCAACCCAGCCCAAACCAACCCAACCCAACCCAATTTGGCCAAGCCAAGCCAACCCAACCCAACCTAACTAAACCTGCCAACCCAACCCAACCCAACCCAACCAACCCAATTCAAGCCAAGCCAAGCCAACCCAACCCAACCCAACCCAACCCAACCCAACCTAACCCAATTCAAGCCAAGCCAAGCCAACCTACCCTGATCTACCTTAATCTAATCCAACTTAACCTAACCTAATCCCAAGCTATTATTAAGTTACAGTAAGTTAGACTACGGATTGTTAGGACTAGAGGCCCGTTAGGACTAGGGGCCTGTTAGGACAAGGGGCTCGTTAGGACTAGGGGCCTGCTAGGACTAGGGGCCCGTTAGGACTAGGAGCCCGTTAGGACTAGGGGCTCGTTAGGACTAGGGGCCCGTTAGGACTAGGGGCCTGCTAGGACTAGGGGCCTGCTAGGACTAGGGGCCCGTTAGGACTAGGAGCCCGTTAGGACTAGGGGCTCGTTAGGACTAGGGGCCCGTTAGGACTAGGGGCCTGCTAGGACTAGGGGCCCGTTAGGACTAGGGGCCTGCTAGGACTAGGGGCCCATATAATCAACGCCTATTATTTTATCTCGGTCACCCTTGGCAGGTCTTTAGGCTTGTGTGGGCGGCTTATTGAGTATTTGTTCCGTTCGTTTATGCAAATTTCCCGTCATCTTGTGCAAAACAATATATCAGCCATCATTAACTAATATCACCCACCAGCTATCACCCACTCACCCACTACTGTCACCCACCAATCATCACCAACCAAGCGTCACCCACCAAGCATCATCCACCAATCATCACCCACCAACATCATCCACCAACCATTCATGACTCAACCTCGCTCCAATTTCAAACTCCTCCATTCTGCTACGTCCCAATTTCCACCCTTTGTACCCACCCTACACTCCTATTTGGACCTACACCTATTTATCCCTACACCCATGGCCAAGAATATCCCTAAAAAAGACAATATTCCTTAACTTCATTCATCTCTTCATTCATTCCTTCATTCAACTAAACACCCAGTGCCCTCACCCCCCCCCCTCCCCACACAACTTCTCCCCCTCCTTACACCACCACCACCACCACCACCACCCCTATTTTAAGCTTTGTACCTCCCTTCTCCCTATTCCATCCCCATCCGTTTTAATTTCTCCCTACTTCCCAATTCCAATCCGTTTCCCATCCCATTTCAACTCTTTCCATCCTTGTCTTCCCTCCCTATGCTAACCCTCCTCTGCCCCTCTCTCCTCCCCAGCACCTCCACCCTCTGTAATTCCTCATCCTTCATCTCTCCCTGCCTTCCCACATCTTCTCATCCTCTCCCAAAGTCTCGACCTCCCCACATCTTCTCTCCCTCCATTTCGGGTTCCTGGGGTCATTGTTCATAGAAACAAGTGAGCCCTCCTCCCGCCTCCCTCCCTCTGTACCTCTCCCTGAAAAAACTAGTTTCTCCCTCCTCCCTCCCCCACGGTCCATTTTACAATTAAGTTTTCAGCTGTTCTGTTGCTTGATGGAGGACGAGGGAGGAGGAGAGAGAGAAATGAGGAGTGGGAGGGTGGGAGGGAGGAGGAGGAGGGAGGAGGGAGTGAGGCTGTATAGACAAGGGGTGACAAGTGTAGAGGATCGAGAAAGGGCAGGAGGGAGGAGGGAGGGAGGAGGGGAGGGGAGGGAGGAGGGAGGAGGAGGGAGGGGAGGGAGGAGGAGGAGAGGGAAGGGAAAGGATAAAAGAAGGAAAGAAAATGAGGTTAGGGGAAGGTAAAATAGAAGGAGAAATGAGGAATGAAGGGGGTAAAATAAAAGAAGGGAAGAGAAGAGTGGAAAGAGGGAGAGGAGAAGGAAAAGGAAACGGGAGGAGGAGAAGGAAAAGGAAATGAAGAGGAAGGAAGGGAAGGGAGAAACTGAAGAGGGAGGAGAGGTGAACCAGCAAAACACACACACACACACACACACACACACACACACAGACACACACACACACACACACACACACACACACACACATACCTGATTATCATTATCCAGAACAATGACACAAAACCCATTTACAAGTACTCAAAATAACCACTTAACAAAAATAAACAATTACAGGGTGATCGAGAAGTCCCTGTGCACCTGTAATAAATAAAAATATAGTCGTTTCTTGTTATACCTACAGTGTTTTATACCTTGTCTACCTAAAATTAATAGTGAAAATAGTCATAGTAATTGTAGGGAGTGGATACTATTTCCAATACTTACTGTAGTTACAAAAGGTATATAATAATGTAGGTATGACGGGGAATAAACTACATTGGTTAAGTATTTTAGGTGCACAGGGACTTTTCGATCACCTTGCGTATAGTGATGTTTATTTATTTGTTGTCATAATAGGTCCCAGTCCCATTAAATCCCACTCCAAACCTAACTCAATTTGACCTAACCTAACCTAATCCAATTTGACCTGATCTACTCTGACCTAATATAACCTAAGCCAATTTAACCTGACCTAACTTAACCGCATTTGACATGGATTGATATGTCCTAACCTAATCTAACAAAACATACCCTAATTTGACCTGACTTAACATGACCTAACCTATCATAACACTACTAGACCTGAACTAACCTGACCTAACTTAACCTTAATTGACCTGACCTCACCATACCTAATCTATCATAACCCAATTTTACCTGACCTGACCTAAACTAACCTAACCCCAGTTCTAAATAGATCCTAGTCCTAATAGACACCAGTTCTAAATAGACTCCAGTCCTGATAGATTTCATTTCTAATACAAATAGGTCGTAATAGCCCCCTCTCCCCAAATATTCCAGTACCAATGAGCCCCAATCCTAGCAGACATCAGCCCCAATATAGACCCCCAGTCCTCAAAGATTCCAGTCCATTTGTGCCCTACTCCTAATAGGTTGCAATACTAATATACTGAAATCCTAATAGAAGTCCCAGTCTCAATAACCTCAATTCTATTAGGCCCCAGTCAAAACAGATCCCCGAGCCTGATAGACCCTCCCAGTCCCAAAAAGACCCTAATAATAAGGAATTACATTATATTAGGTTAGTTTTGCCTTGAGTGGAAAGAGTTAAAACCTTCTCTGGCCTGTAAACAACCAAGTAGGTGAGAGGGGGGGAGGGAGGGAAGTGATACATTAATGAATGAATGATTATTGCCACAGTCTCTGAGTAAGTGAGAGGAGAGTGAGAGGAGGCAGTGAGAGTGAGTGAGTGAGAGCTGGACCACGCCCTGGCCGTCAGCGGGAGACGAGGAACAGCGCGGCATAAGACTGGTGGTGGCGAGGCGTCGTACCTGTGAGCCGGGAAGCGGGAAGCAAGGAGACCGCCGGGGACTTGAGTAACCAGGTATCCCCAGAAGAAGGAAGAATCCACCACTCCTACGATGTCGTCACTCCAATCGATATCCTTCCTCTGATGATGTAGATGAACCAGGGATAAAAAAAAAAGAAGAAAACAGTTAGTTATTTATGTTCTGTTTATATTACAGAACACACACACACACACACACACACACACACACACACACACACACACACACACACACACACACACACACACATTAATACACACGTTAGTCACTGCTTTTGTTTTGTAGAAGATACAAGATTTTTTTTTTTTTTAATAGTAGAAGAAACAAGGATCCGGAAACGTTAATTAAATATCTTGATAAGAAAGATAAATAAAGGGCGGAACGTTAGTTGTCTGGGCCAAACAGATGGTGAAAACGTTACTTGGTGATACAGGAGACGGAGAAACGTTCGGTGTGTGCGAATGACAAGAGAGATACTGCGACAGAGAGAGAAACAGACTTAGACAGAGAGAGAAACAGACTAAGACAGAGAGAGAAACAGACAGACAGAGAGAGAAACAGACTAAGACAGAGAGAGGAAACAGACTAAGACAGAGAGAGAAACAGAGAGACTTAGACAGAGAGAGAAACAGACTTGACAGAGAGAAACAGACTAAGACAGAGAGAGAAACAGACAGAGTGAGAGAAAAAGACAGACAGAGAGAGAAACAGACAGACAGAGAGAGAGAAACAGACAGACAGAGAGATCATTGTAACTGAACACTTAAAAACAAATCAATTAGTTAAATAATAATAATAATAATAATTTATATAAGTAAGTGAAGTATAAAGGCTTCCATAGCGCTGTAAATAATACCAGTGGAATTATTGAAGCTTTATTTTCGTTTATAATGGATGAGTAATGCTCTCTCTCTCTCTCTGAAATTTTACACATTCATTGTCAATCATGAGTTTGAAGCCTCACTCACCCAATCACTCACTCACTCACTCACTCACTCACTCACTCACTCACTCACTCACGACTCGGAATCAATACTCACCCTCTGATTCACCACTCACCCTCTGAATCACGACTCTGAATCACCACTCACCCTCTGACTCACGACTCTGAATCACCACTCACCCTCTGAATCACGACTCTGAATCACCACTCACCCTCTGACTCACCGACGACTCAGAGGGTGACTTAGGTGTTACTCACCCCAGTGGCGGGAACCTTGGAGGTCATCCCCATCACAGCCACGCCCATGTTGCACCGGATACCGAAGGAGATAAGGAACCCTGCAGGAGATCAAAGTGACACATGACACTTCTGACACATGACACTTCTGACACATGACACTTCTGACACATGGCACTACTGGTACATGACACTTCTGACACATGACACTTCTGACACATGGCACTACTGGTACATGACACTTCTGACACATGACACTACTGGCACATGACACATGACACTACTGGCACATGGCACTTCTGACACATGACACTTCTGACACATGACACTACTGGTACATGACACTACTGGCACATGACACTACTGGCACATGACACACATGACACTACTGCTGACACTACTGGTACATGACACTACTGGTACATGACACTACTGGCACATGACACTTCTGGACACATGACACTACTGGCACATGACACTACTGGTGCATGACACTACTGGTACATGACACTACTGGCTACTTCTGACCATAACACTACTGGCACATGACACTACTGGCACATGACACTACTGACACATGACACCACTGGCACATGAAACTACTGGTACATGACACTACTGACACATGACACTACTGGCATGACACTATTGGTACATGACACTACTGGCTCATGACACTACTGGTACATGACACTACTTACATGACACTACTGGCACATGACACTACTGGCATGACACTACTGGCACATGACACTACTGGCATATGACAATACTGGCACATGACGCTACTGACACATGACACTATTGGCACATGACACTACTGACACATGACACCACTGGCACATGACACTACTGACACATGACACTACTGGCATATGACACTACTGGAACACAACTACTGACACATGACACTATTGGCACATGACACTACTGACACATGACACTACTGGCACATGACACTACTGACACATGACACCACTGGCACATGAAACTACTGGTACATGACACTACTGACACATGACACTACTGGTACATGACACTATTGGTACATGACACTACTGGCTCATGACACTACTGGTACATGACACTACTGATACATGACACTACTGGCACATGAAACTACTGACATGACACTACTGGCACATGACACTACTGGCATATGACACTACTGGCACATGACACTACTGACACATGACACTATTACACATGACACCACTGGCACATGAAACTACTGGTACATGACACTACTGACACATGACACTACTGGTACATGACACTACTAGTACATGACACTACTGGGTACATGACACTACTGGTATATGACACTACTGGCACATGACACTACTGGGTACATGACACTACTGGTATATGACACTACTGGTACATGACACTACTGACACATGACACTACTGGCACATGACACTACTGGTACATGACACTACTGGCACACGACACTACTGACACATGACACTACTGGCACATGACACTACTGGTACATGACACTACTGGCACATGACACTAATGGTATATGACACTACTGGCATATGACACTACTGGCACATGACACTATTGGCACATGACACTACTGGCACATGACACTAATGGTATATGACACTACTGGCATATGACACTACTGGCACATGACACTACTGACACATGACACTACTGACACATGACACTATTGGCACATGACACTACTGACACATGACATCTGGAACACATGTGACAACTTATACTGTATCCAACAATTTTTACAACAAAATAGCGGACTCTTTCCCACCACTAGATAATGATTTTTATGTAACCTCCTCTTACTCCTGCTCTTCCTTCTACAACTACTGCTGCTCCTACTTCCTCTCTTCCTCTTCTTCCTACAGCACCAGGAGGAAACATAATAACAGCAGCGGATAAGACGAGAAGAAGCAAAAGTTAGAGGGGAAGATGGAAGAAGTTCAAGGAGGGGGGGAAGGAGGCGGTAGGCTGGAGGAGGAGAGACGGAGGAAAAGAGAGTGGGGTGAGAGCATGTGTGTGTGGGCGTGAGTAAGAGTAGTGGTGGGTGTGGCCGAGATAAAGAGAGAGAGAGAGAGAGAGAGAGAGGACCCACGTGGTGTTTAGTTGGGAGAGGGCGGGGCAGGTGAACTAACCACACCTCGCTCTCCCTCGCTCTCAACTCTCCTCCAGGCAGGCGGGGCGGTCCACCTCAACTCTCTCCTCGCTCTCCCTTCCCCCATCCCCTCACAACACGTGTGAGGGCGGGGCAGGTAAGACGACCACACCTCTTCCCCTCACTCTACCTCCCCCCTTTCCCTCACTCCCCCAGGCGCGGCTCAACAGGTGTGTGAGAGGGCGGGGTCGACCACGCCCTCACCTCCATTCAGAGACAGGTGGAGGAGGGGCAGGTGAACACACCCACCAATGCTCACTCACTAGGCAACAGGTGAGAGAGGTGAGAGGGAGGGAGGGAGAAGGGGGGGGGTGCGATCAGCTGAGTGAGAGGGCGTGGCTTAAGGTGTGGTCCACGTGGGGTTTAAAGAGGATAGCTCGTCAGGTTGGCCTTGGGGGTGTGAGTGTGAGACCACGAGGGAGAGTGATGGACGCCTTGGGAGAGTGCGTATGAGAGTGTGTGTGTGTGTGTGTGTGTGCGTGTGTGTGTGTGTGTGTGCAAGTGTGAGTGTGTGTGTGTGTGTGTCTTAACAACAGTCCTCAAGATGGTCTTCAGTAAAACAAGACAGTGATAAGACGACCAGTATTACTAGCAGCCAATTGACCCCTTCTTGTGTGTAGCCTTGACCAAACTCTTCGTGTGACCTTTGACCTGCCGCCATGATTTGATTTGATTTTGCCGCTTGCAGCGGCTACTTTATTGTGCACCCCACACTCATCCTGTGAGCGGTAGCGCAAAAGGATTACAGAGTAGGGTTTACAACGGGTCATAATAATTAACCTCCGTTGTCAGGATATTATGGCACTGAATGTTACACAGTATTTCATTTACATTATTTGTTTAGTTCTATACATAAAGGGTAACTTATTCACAAATGCGTGAGAACAGGCGTGTGAGGCAGTATGTCTGGCCTCACACTTTGTTATTCACATTTACGTGAGAGGTATTAAAGCACATTGCGTATTTGGTTCTGTACATGAGAATTGATATAGTTACTAAGTGCAAAAAAGTGGATACAATCTTAATATGTCGGCTATCTTGCCATTAGAGATGAAGTGTTGTGCCATTTCACACACAGTGTGCTTGGACCTGTCCCTAAAAGGTTCTATCTTCACACAGTCGAGGACGTAGTGTTCAAGTGTGTGGCCATATGCATGGCCACATGACTATAGGAGGTAGGGTGGATATATAAGTTAGCTAGGATGAGTTACCAAATGACCCGGGATAACACAGGAAGGGTAGGATAAGATTTATATAACCTAACCTAACCTAACCTAACCTAACCTAACCTAGAATAACATAGGGGTACTGACCTACACTGGCGAGGACTGCCATGGTGAAGCGTTTGGTTATGTTGCAGCAGGGACAGTTAGGTGGCAGGTATTGGTCAATCTTCCTGAGCGGTGGCGGGTTCTCTCTCTCAGGCTCCTCGTACATGCCATCTTCCCTGCCGGGGTCAATAAAGGTCAGTGTTAGGGTCATAATAAGGTCAGTGAGTGTCGAGGCAGTCATGCGTTAGCGCCGAGGCCATTATAGGTCAGTGTCAGGGTCAATAAAAGTCAGTGTTAGGGTCATAATAGGTCAATGAGTGTCGAGGTCATCTTAAGTCAGTGCTGGGGTCATTATAGGTCAGTGTTGGGGTCAAAAAAGATCAGTCTTCACTTTCCTTCACCCAATATTTAACATACTGTATCGACCTCAATATAATATTTTGTTTATAACTGTCGACAACTACATGTTATTCGGACGATAACGAGGACGACTACGATAACGAGGACGACTACGATAACGAGGACGGGGACAATCGTTAGGACACTAGGGCAATTACAATAACGAGGACGACTACCTAACAATCTTTATTAGGTTAGGTTAGGATAGGTTAGGTTAGGTTAGGTTAGGTTAGGTTAGGTTAGTTCGCCATCAGAATGTATTTAGTGTGATATAATCTTCACTGTTTCTTTATCAGGGAATCCTTAGGGTAGACAAGTGTAAACAAAGATAGCCTCAGTATGTAAACAATTCTGGGGGGGATTTTGTTTATATCTGTTACTTAAATATACATTTTATTTAACAAATCGTGTTTAAGGGTACAAAAAGACATTGATTTTTACGTAGGAAGAAGCGGATTTGACGTTTAAAAATAATAATGATTTCGCTGCACCATGTTAGGTATTAGCAGAAGCAAACTAGTTCGTTCCTGTTAAAATTAAACACATTTCAGTAATATTTATCGTTTATTTACTGAAGCGTCAAAGGGCAGACACCTCAACCTATACTTGCCGGGTTTTTTTTTAGTCAATTTAGATGTCGTTTTTCGAAGCTCTAAACCCGGATATATTAACCACAGATTCGCTAAGTACAAGTGCAATCTAATAACATATTGTACTGTATGTCTAGTGAAGAAAATTACCCCGAAAATGCTAGTTTAGTGGCGCCTCAGTTCTTAATATTTAACTAAACAAGTGAGCATCAACTAATGGAATCAAACTCCCGTTCCGTAGTACCGAATATGTTCATGAAGCGAATGCGCGGTTTGTTATTCTCAAGACGTTTATAGTGTTCCGTCCATCATTTTTAACCTGCAATTTCCTTCTGCTTCAAAGCTTAGCGTAATTTTGTTTATAGCAGGAACGAACCACTGAGCGGTAAGCAATGTATTCAAGTCCTACAATGCACAGGGGTTCGGTCATACTAAAATAGTTTAGTTAGTTCGCCAAAGGGCCTCTTTTCCCTGAGGTCACATTGTATCTACCTCACTAATCATTCTTCATCAGGGGGAAAGGGCATTAACTACTTATGTAAGGGATCCCTTCTACGCTGAATAAATTCGTCTTGTGTGCGCCAAATACGGGGTCAAAATACCACAGATCACTTGGCAGTTGATTCAATTAAAAATATTGGGATTAGTATTATTCCAGTGATCTATTAACACAACATTACACGATAAAGTATATTACGACTACAGTATATAGTAAATGTGTTTGTCCGGTTTCCATCACACCTGAGGGTCACGATAGTGCTGGCCCCTCCACTGTGCCGGTGTACAGTCTTCCCGGGTGCAGCTCGTCAGCATTATCCTGTGACATCAATATCATCTAGAACTCAGTAATACTTATCTTTACTTGCGCACGTAAACCACCCACTTTCGACTGTGTTTGTAATAAAGATAAGTTCTCCCTTACGTCAAGAAAACCGCAAATTAGGTGCAGGAATTAAAATTTTCGTAATTTTGTTTTTTCGTCGTTTTTCGTTCTGTACAGGCATCTACGTCCACCTGAAACTAATTTACCACTTGATCTGTACTTAAATTACAAACCCTTACCAGTGACCGAAAGCTTCCAGCGACCTTACCATACGAAAGCTTCCAAATGATGGGTTAACATATTTTCTTTACATCAGGATAGGTCATATTAGCTTAGTTAGATTGGTTATCTCATATTGTATAAATCATTTACTCTAGTAGTCGCTGGAAGGATTCATATGGAAAGATTGCTACAAGAGTTTGTATGCAAACAACAGAACACTCGCATAATGGCAACAGATGGACATAATCTCTGTTCAAGATGGAAGACGACGAATAAATAGAAGTACAAAAATTTAAATTCATGCATCAAATTTGCTATTTTCTCGACATAAGGCAAGTCACAAATAGAATGTTTCTGTGAGCACGAACAAGTCCCGGCCACTTTTTTTTACGGGGAATAGCCCACTCGGGCACAGGTCACCTGCTTCAAGAGCTCTTAGTTAACTGTACAGTGTAGTAAGTGTACACACTACACTTACACTGAAGTGACTAGATGAGGAGAGTAAGCCACTATGTCGTGTACAGTATACTCACAATAACTGATAATTGTTTACTTCGGCGGCCCGTCAACAGATGGCGTTTAAAAGTCATAAAAACAGTCAAAATTTCACATCGTAAACATCAACTGCGTTTGAATTAAGGAATTAAAAATCAAAACACAAAAACTAGCCTGACATACTACCTCAACTAGGCACTTAGATCTAGTTTATATGGGACAATCGTAATGGTTAGGTTAAATTCGGGTGGGCGGTGTTAAGAATGGGAATCTACTGGAATTTCTTGACATGGAACTGATATTTTCTCCCGCTGTCAACAGATGGCACCTCCTCCTTGGGCTCGGAGCATCAAGAGAGCCACTGTTTTTACGTTTCAAGGTAGTTATTGTGATGGCTATAACGGTATAAATGGTACTATAAAAAGAACAAATTATCCACAATTATTATATAACTGAGACAACCGAAAATTGGATAAATACTACAAAATACAAAAATGCTGGTAATTATACTTCCAGGACTCGCACTGAACCAAAGTAACCAGCTTGATGAGACGTGAGAAATATCCTCTTCCAAAATTCACGACTAACGAGAGCAATGCTTCGACTGGGTTTTGAAACGAAAATGAAATATACCTATCATCACTCCGGGTAAATTCTCTTACGTCTTTCCTCGTAAAATGACCTTAAACATCCGCAAGTTTATATTACACGATAGATTTAGTCATTTGTATGAATCATTCATTCACCGACTGACTCGTACTGAATGAACTCTTTCTTATACCTGTATACACACACACACACAAATATATATATATATATATATATATATATATATATATATATATATATATATATATATATATATATATATATATATATATATATATATATATATATATATATATATATAGGCTTAGGCAAGCCCCGAATCAGTCGCAGCCTAGTCATAGAACCACCAACAGCCTGGCGATAGAGATGTCCACAGCTTGGCCAGAGAACCACTAAGAGCCAGGCCACAGGACCAGGCTGAAAATGGCTCTGTGGCCAGGCTGGCCACAGAGCCGTCCACAGCCGAGGGCCGGACTGGAGGTTAATCGCGGGTGGGCAGGGTTTTGTAGACCCGTCAAGTGAGGCGACGATGTAATAAGTCAAAGGGAACTTACCAGCGCCTGGGGACCTACTCTCTCTCTCTCTCTCATAATTCCCCCTACCTCATTGTCCCTCCTCTACGGTAGTGACACACAACAATATCTCTCCCTCCCTCCCTCCTTCCCTCCCACTCAGGGCTGGCTGTCACGGATCAGCTGACTTTTGTTGACATTTTAGGGGGAACTCCTTTAGATCACTCTCTCAAGGCGACGTCCCCAGAATGGTGGAAAAAGTGTTGTGTGTGTGTGTGTGTGTGTGTGTGTGTGTGTGTGTGTGGTGTAAAATAATGATGACTCACACGGCCCTCACCATCCATCTTACCTCCCTACAATATCTCTCTTTAGTTTTTACTTCCATTAGTCTCTCCCTCATCTATCTCCTCCTCCCTCCTCCCTCCTTCCTCATCTCCCTCCCTCCTCATCACTGTCCACATCAAGTTTCTCTTTCATTCACCTTTTACTGCATTTGTTTGCCTGTTTTCCACATTTCTTCCTTTCCGTTTCTCTCTCTCTCTCTTCCTCCCTCCCTCTACTCCTCCTTCCCTCTCCTCTCTTCCCTATTTATCCTCTCTTCTCTCCCTCTCCTTCGCCCCGCTTTATCTCTCCCCACCTCCCTTCCTCCTCATCTTCTTTTCCTTCCCTCCTTCTCTCTTCCTCTCCCACTTTCTTCCCTCCCTCTTCTGTTCCCACCCATCTATCAGCCACTCCCTCTTCCCTCATTAACTTCTCCCCCTGACACTCTCTCCTCCTCCCCACACCCTGACTTCTTCCCTTTCCTCCCTCCCTTTCTCTCCTCTTTCCTTTTCCCTCCCGGTAAAATTCTCCTTTTCCCTCTTGCATTATCCATTTCCTCCTACCCATCTCTTCCTTCCTCAACTCCCCCTTTCACTCCTCTCCCTCCCTCTCTATCCTTCTTTGCCTTCCCCTCTTTCTCTCCCTTCCTTTCTCTCCCCTTGTATCACCTCTCCCTACTCTCACTGTCTCTCCCCTCTTCCCTACATCCTCTTCTCAGCCTCCACACATCCTAACTCTTCCTCACCCCTTCCTAAAATCCCCATGACTCCTCCTCCTCCTCCTCCTCCTATTCGTCTTCCTCTTCCTCCTGCTTAATGTCTCTCGCTTCCCCTTACCCTTCCCCACCCTTTCCGATTCTACATCAACTCTTCCACTTACTCCTCATTTTCCTCTCCTTTTCCCCAACTTCCCTCCCTTTTCTCCTTTCCTGATTCCCTCCTCCTCTCCTTCTCCCTTTCGTTAACTGATCGCACCTCCCCTTCCCACCTTAACTTTCTCTCCCTCCCCCTCCCATCTCCGCATCTCCCCTCCATCTCTCTTTCCCCTTCTTCACTTCCTTCCTGGCGGTTGTCTGTCACGTGGCATTGTTTACAAACAGAGGCGCACCAGCCCGACCGACCACAGCTGACTGAGGGCGCCGAGAAATGTTGGAAAATTACCACGAACGCGACGGCTGACTCATTTACATATCAGACCACACGAAA